AGGTTTTTAAAACATTTATTTTAATGTTACATGAAAATTATGATTTAGAAATGTTGCAGTACAAAAAATGTTATTCTTTTGTTAAATTTTAGCAACACATATACATAGAAATTAACTCACCTCCATAAGAGTCACTCTTAGAAGGCCTTACATCTACACATATACACAGAAATTAACTCTCATCCATAAGAGTCACTCTTAGAAGGCGTTACATCTACACATATAGTTGTTGTTTTGCGCATTTTTTTTTTACCTTCCTTTTCTTTATATTCGTACGCAATAAACACACAAAAGATTCGTTTTCCCAAATGATATTGTTCTACTAGTAGAACATGTCGTATATCAACAAAATATATAGAGTTTTAGTATTGCAAGCCACGGTCTAAAATTAAGGGCTATCGAACTGATATCGGAAAAGTTATATATAAAGCTCCCTTTTAAACGGCATTTTAAATATTTGCACCTTCAGGGACATAATTTTTTTACCAATCGAATGAGCGTACCCTGGATAGAGCTACGTAGGGTTGAACGTAAGAAAAAAAAAATGACTCAACTAAGTCCAACGCCGACTCACAGACATTCGTTTTTCCAAATTACATTATTTTGTTACGTTTTTTATGATAAAAATGATGCCAACAAATAGTTTAGACTAAGCATAAAGAAGAAAGTTCTAGCCACGCCCCACCTTCAACTTTATGATGGCTCAGCCGTAAGCTTTATGGCTTATAACACTTAGATTCAGGGTTGGTTACCAGCGGTAGGCCCAACGCAGACAGCCCATTGTGTAGCTTTGTACTTAAAAACAGAAATATATAAATAGATACAAAATAACGTTCTAATTCATTATACAAAATTTTATTTAGGCAGTCTAATGGCCAAGATATGCCATTTCACCCCTCTACTACCATTAAATCGAACATATGTGTATAGCCAACATGATTTATATATATATACATACCCTTCGTGATTGTTTATCTTTTAATCATATCTTTGTGAAATATAGAAAGAGAGCCTAATGATTAATTTTTAGTTATAAAGCGCTGGACTGAAATGGCCCATGGTAGTAATTAAGGGGTTAACGCAATGGTTAATCTCTCATTCCTCCCCCCCCTTCAAAATAGGATACCATTAACTATTAGTCTAATGATTAATTTTTAATTAATTATTATAAAGTGCTGGACGAAAATGGTCCATGTTAGTAATTAAGGGGTTAACACAAATGGTTAATCTCTCATTCCTCCCCCCCCTTCAAAAGAGGATACCGTTAACTATTAGTCTAATGATTAATTTTTAATTAATTATTATAAAGTGCTGGACTGAAATGACCCATCTTAGTAATAAAGGGGTTAACGCAATGGTTAATCTCTCATTCCTCCCCCCCCTTC